AGTTCCACCGGCCTCCCATCTAGTGTGGCACAACATGAACGGGAATCTCACCGTCGTCCTCCCCACCCGTGTCCCTCCCCTAACGAAACGCACGATGTCATGAAGCGATCACGGGAGTTCCTGCAAGCCAAATCACGGATCTGAGCACACAGGACCAGACTGCACATCACAAATAGGTACTACTTTCTCCGTCTGTGCGAGCTTCTTGAAGATCTGTACACGCACCCACGCATAGGCCGCCGATCAGGCACTCCGCCGCACCGAGGAATACGACACGCACCTGGATGTACACCTCTGCAGTCTGCCCGCCAATAACCGCCCACCGTCCGTCGATGATTGTGAACGGTACGCCCGTCACGCCCTTTTTGCGCGCCTCCGACATCATGTTGATCACCTCCTCCCGGCAGTCGTCCGACTCAATGAAGCTCACCGCCTGCCGTACGACCAATGAGAAACGCGTCAGCTAATCCTCGGCCCTTCCTCGGTGCAGTCGCACGGCGCACGCACCTCATCTTTCGCCATGATCCCGGCCGCCTGCGCGAGGTCGCTCAGGACGTCGGAGTCGCCGATATTCCGATTCTCCTCGAAGTACGCCTTGTTGATCGCCTGCAGGAAGGTCTGCTGCATCTGCTGCCCGCCGACCTTGAGCGCCTTGAGGCTTAGCCGGTGTGCGCGCACGGTTTGCGTGATTGTGCCGTCATATTTGCTGTGGACGTTTCATCAGTTCCTCCCTGACTGTATATATCACATTCTTTGGTAGAGTTGCGGAAGGGTAGCCCGCGCCCTGGGGAGTCGTGCAAGGGGAAACAAGATGACTCTCGAGTGCGAACGAACGGCTCGCAACGCCAAGGCCGGGTACCTCGTCCCGCTTCTGAAAGCAATTCGCAAGCATACGCACAAGCAGTGTCACTCACATATTTAGGCCGAGCTGCTGCCCGCGGAGGGTGATCATTTGCATGATCGACTGGAACTTCTCCTTGCCAAAGCGATTGATGTACCATTCCCGCTTGACCAGCGCCTGGTCCTCCGGGAGCGACGGCTGAAGCTGGTATGGCCTGTGCTCAATCTTGATGGTGATGGGTAGATCCCGGACGGCTTCGACGGCGTTCTCCATCTCCTTCTCGCCAATGTAGCACCAGGGGCAGATCTGCGGCGTCCCGTCAGCGGGCGGGTGAGCACGCTACGGCCGCAAACACGCACTATGTCCCCGATGACAACCAAATTGACCGTCCGCGACATGGTGCGGGGTGTGGCTAGGGTGTTCGGAGCGGGCGCGCGGGTCCAGAGGCCGAGAATTCAGAGCGGCGAAGCGGGATTTGGGCGCTATGGTGCGCGAGTGATGCGCGTGCAGAGGCGTCGTTAACGAGCGGCGTGGTAGAAGACCAGAGAGAGACAGAGCGAGCGCAGGGGGATAAGCGTGGAGGTATATACAGTCTTTACTAACGCTCGCTCCTGAGATTGGTCACCGGCTTGGGTGAGCACCTCACCGATGCTCGTCATGTGACAGATCGGGCGCGCCCTCGCGAGGCGCCCATAACCAACTCCCCCGCCTCCTGCCTCGGTCTCCGCCCCTGCTTCCCGCCGGCCGGCCTGCTCGAGTTCAGAATCGCCCCTCCCCGTCGGCCGTGCGGGAAGGCGGGACTACGTCTGGGCTGCCCTCGAAACACTCCGCTCGCTCAGCGACTTCGGGCTGCTTGCAAAGCCATAGTGGGAGCGAGCTTTTGTCAGCAGCCGGGCGCAAGCTAAACATGGACCTCAACTCTCTCAAGCTCGCCTCGTTTACACCTGTGTGTCCGGACTCGCTGTCAGCAAACGACTTCTGCTTCTTTGCTGTGCAGTGTTCAGCCTCTGCTCGTAACCATGACATGACGAACTCAATCAAGATTGTATGGGCGTCGCTGCCCGCACATTCTCTTCGAGGCGGCTGGCCCAGCGAAGCCGCCGGCCTCGGTGCTGCACTCGACTTGGCGTCCGTAAGTGCATTCTCACACCATGTCAGCAGGAGGTGCCTTGTGGATGCTTCCGTTCGCCCATGCCTATCGCGGCGGTGCTCCTCGCGAGCTCCCCGGACCGCGCGCTTCGTTGACATCGAACGCTGTACGAACACAGGGCGTACTTCTGAAAGAAATCACTGTTGCTCCAGTGTTCAGAGGAACTCGGCGTCGGTGGGCTCCACCCATCCCAGTCCTTTCCACACTGCAAGACGATACGATCAGCAAGCCTTCAACATATCAGAATCGCGTTCAACCCACTTCTCATCTTGTCCCAATCTTCGAAGGGTCGCACTCGTTAGCTGGGGCCTCTCTGACACAACGACGACACGCAGACACTCACCCTTCCACCAATGTTTGATCCTACCGCCCTCCTACAGTACAACACCGTCGGCTCAACATCTCCCTCCCAAACTCGCGTAGGTCGCGATGGACTCACCATGATGAACGACCCCTGCGCCGTCCACTGCGCGTGCTGTCCATGGGGCTCGACCCCGCCGTGAGGTTCGCCGGTATGAGTGCCCTCCGCGGTGTAACGCAGGGAGACGAAGTCCTCTTTCGCGACGACGACGTCGAACTGGATTATGTGGAGGTCGTTCAGGCTCTTCAGGACCTCTGTGGGCGACGTCAGAGGTGCGTGCATCCATGGGCGGACTGGACTAACTTGCGTGCGACCTGCAGAGGACCGTATCAGCGCGCCCGCTGCGTACAATTGTACGTGTGACTCACTCGGCGTATTCATCGACTGTATGCGCCATCGGGAACGTCGACGGCGCCGAGAAGGTGTTGTCCGGCGCGCAGAACTCGAGCACGCTCTCCTTGCCCGAGTTGAGCTCGTAGGAATATGCCGTGCGCATGTACTGCCGTCAGTCACGGCCTCAGCGACCGAGTTTCCTGCTGCTGCTAACACTCACCTTCAGGACCGTTGAGACGTTCCGCTCTTCCTGTGCGGAGAGCTGAGCAGGCATGGCTTTGATGGGGATGGGCACGCCAAAACGTTGTTGGACTTCTTGGGTGGATAGGTCGCGTTCGGGCATGCTCGCGTTGCGACACTTCTCAGACGTTGGTGAAGGTGTGTGCGAGCTTGGATGCCTATTTGAACTTCGGATTTGGGCACTGGCGCGAACGCGTGACGTCATTTGGTACGTCCGCGTTGGGGTGCTACAGTACTTACTCAAATATATATGTACGTTGTTAATGCGTCCCAGTACGTATACATGCATCACAATCGGTGTACTTATGGTTAGAGGCCACTTGGGGACGATGCTGTAGGATGAATCATCAATTGAACCCGGGCCGTCGAATTCCAGCTCAGGTGTGAAACTACCTTCTACGATACTACGCCGAAGTGGCAAAGGTTGTCGAGGCACACAAACAGAAACAATGGGCATCGGTGGAGGGCTTCATGAGGGTGAGGCGTTTCAGAAGGCCTACCGAAGTTGCGTGAAGAGCTTAAAGAGACGAAGTGGATGGTGCGACGGGGAGTGATGCGCTGGGATGGTCAAGTATACATTGTACAACGTGTGAACTTATATTACAAGGGCGAAAGTAGCTGCGGGAAGATCTGCGCGAATCGTCTTACAGTCAAACATTGTCAGAATATGATGGTCTGCAGCTTTACTGCTGGCCCGGTCGCGCTTGCAGGACGCCGTCGAAGTAGGTGTCCACTTTCTCGTCGTAGAACGCGACGTAGCCTTTGATGTCTGCGCACTCCGCCAGGGGCACTCGGTACCACCAGACGAGGTTGTCGAGGACTTCTCCTGTGGAGAGTGCCACGCTGTAGTAGTTTGCAACACCCTGGAGAAGGGCAATAAGCCATCGCGACCCATGGGACGCAGATGACAAGCTGACCTTGTATGGGCACACAGTCGTGAGATCCGTTGGCTTCAGTAGATCCATGCGGCAATCGGTCTTGGGGATGTATGTCCGGACCGCAATGCCCGTCTCGAAGAGCAAGCGCGGCTTCGTGGAGTTCGCCACTTCGACGCCGTTCACCACGACGCGTACGTGCCGAGACGACTGCAGAACGTCCACTCGCTTGCATCGGAACCATCAGTAGAGTACAGACTGCAACGCTCAGTTCACGCGAACCTTGTACGGGTCTTTGGGGTGCACGAACACCTCTTCATCCTCCTCGAACCAGGCGTCCATCGCATCGAAGGCGATCTGCATCAGGCCGGCGAGATCACCCTGCAGGTACTTCGTGACCGCATATTCCGCATTGCGCGTGCCTACAATCAGGTCGTATTGCTCGCGGTCCGCTGATTTGGATGCGGGCTGCAGAAATTGCGCCGGGACATCCGCGGGGTCGAAGAAGTAGTATGGGTAGTACGGCTTCAGCCATCTGAGGAGCAATTGTGACGGGGCGTTGTGAGAGTCGACCTGCTGCACTCACACTAGCTTTGCACGTGTGGTGTCTACGACAAACTTGCCCGCGAAGAACACACGGATGCGCTTGGCGGAAGGCTCGATGTGTGGCTGAGAGAATGGGGGCGACATGGACTGCAAAGTGAGGGGGTCGATCGATGAACTCTCCTGTTCTCTGCAGCGGTATAAGACCATTTGAAGGTATGCGGAAGCGCTGCGCTGACTGAGCTACTCGGGAGCCCCATTGCTTCTCGAGTTCCTGGGCCACACCGGGCTTCGCTGTCGACTTACCTGGCGGAGACGTGCTTCGAGATTTAGGAATATGGATCACAGGGTGACTGGTGAAGCGCTCCAAATCCTCCAGACGAGAGACTCAGATTCAGTGCGATGCCACACACGCAGTATGTTACAGCCTGAGCCAAGCCTGAGCCTCAGGATGGTTGAGGATCGTGAATCGGCACTCAGGCACGCTGATTGTCACTGTCAGTCGGGTTGATGAAGCCACGGCCACGTGACCATAGTATACACGCACTCTTCGCACGGTCAGTGCACTGAGCCACAGACCACTTCGAGGTTGCTGTGTTGCACTACCGTCGCCCTTTGCATATCTACCTGCGCTCTCAGCGCACCACAGCTGGCATAATGAGACTCGAAGACGAAGTTATACAAGATAGTGAGGATGAGGAGATGTTTGCCCCGCTGAGAATACCAGGACCATCGACTATGGAAACAGAGGCTCGAGAGGCAGCAAAAGGTGCGTACAGGCTGTAGTACAAGTGTCGGGCGAGGCTGCTGATGTACTTGTCGTGAGCAGATAATCGTGCAAGCCGGAGCTCCCCAGACAAGCATCCCAATGCTTCAAGCAGCGCGTCCACGTCTGTCCTCAATCACCGTGCACCGAATCTCAACACAACTCAATCACCACCTACTGCTCCTCCTACAGCATCGAAGGCGCGGCCGAGACCACGACCAGCATACAAAGGCGCGCTTGCGAAGGTCGCAGCAGCCAGCGAGGCCAACGGCCAAGCGGCTGCACCAGCACCCACTACCCCACCAACCGGATCCGACGCGACGAGACCGACGAACCCGCAAGACGCCAATCCCTCAACTTCATCCACCGTGGTCGATCCTAAGGCGGCGCCAGCTGCAACTGAGGACCTCGACGAGTTTTCTCTCGACATCGCCGAGCGAGCGAAGCTGCGCTCTCGCGCGCGCAGCTCGAAGGTCAACGCCAAACAACAACCACGCCCCGTTGACCCAGACGTCATCGACATCAGCTCCTCTGACGAAGACCTCAACATACGACCTCCGAACCGAGGTCCGAAGGCCAAGGCTGCAGATAGAGACGTGCCTTCGCCTAAGAAACGCGCGAAGAAGACGCATATACCCGTCGACATCGCCTTGGATGATACCAGTTCCGCGATCATACCCATTGCTACCTCCGACTTGAGTTCCCAGCTACCCCCATCTGACCCACCGCTGTCTACCCCTCTGGAATCGACACCGGCGAATGCGCGACCGATGATCGGCTCGTCCCCACTCTCCTCCCCTCTACCTCCACCACCGCGTCCACCGAAGCGCAAGCGTAAAACACTGCCTGAGCTACCAAACGACTCAGATGACGGAGACAGCGTTAAACATCGAGGAGCGCTACGGAAGGAAGATTCGGGGCTTGCGATGCCCCCACCGCCCCCGCCGTTCTTCGCAGGATCATCATCGTCATCATCCGCGCACGTTTCCGACACGCTCGTCGAAACATTATCGTCCACGCGTGCCTCCGACGGACCCGCCGCCCCCAAGTCCGCCAAAGCCAAAGGCAAACGGAAGGTGATAGATGACGACGACTTTGAGGACGACTGGCCGATAGACCCGCCCATAAAGCCGAAGCCCCGACAACGGAAGAAGTCTACCGATGAGGACGACTGGCAGGGCGACGAGGTGCCGAAGCCCGCGCGCAAGTCGCGCAAATCGGCGGCGGACGAGGAAGACGAGGGGGAATGGGCGGGTGACGCGCCGCCGAAGCGCAAGCCGCGTGCGCCGCCAAAGAAGAAGGGCAAAAAGGACGGTGTGCCGAAGCAGGTGGTGGAGGTTGTGATTGAGCAGACTAGGGGAGGACGGAAGGGCAGAAAGGGCAAGAACGATCCGCCGCAGTCAGTCGAAGATGTCGCGCGCAATACGGACGTTGTGCAGGGACGCGCCTCTGTAGATCCCGACGCTGCGGTGCCTGAAGATTTGGCTGGTGCGAAGGACGGCTTATCGCCTCTCAGCGACCTCGAGGTTGAGTCTGGGACAGGGAATAAGCAGGTTGCACGACAGAGCACGCCTCCACCCGTTTCCAAGCCGTCCATACCTGTCCTACGAGATGGCGAGTCTATCCTCAACTCTCCACGCTCCAAGAGCAAGGCCAAAGGCAAGAAGAGGGCTATCATGGACTCCGACGAGGAAGAAAACAACGACGGCGAGGAGCCAGGCTCTCCTCCCAAGAAACCTCGGCGTGAGCCTACCAAGGGCCGGAAGTCTGCACCTGCGGCTTTGGAGCAGGAGAACGAGGATCAGGAAGATGATGAGCCTGGGAGCTCGCACAGGGTAAGGTTCCGCCACGTCATTGAGTTCACCTAGATACTGAACACATCCGCCACAACAGGATCCAAGACCTCGAGTCTCCAGCTACTCAGCTGTAACCGCACCGTTCAAATCACCCCTGCCCGCTTCAGGCACCACCCCCAAGCTTACTCTCACCCACCGTTCCTACACTATCGGCCACGGGAAGTCGTCGCAAATGCCCATGTCCGAGCTCCTCAAGAAAGTCAACTCCCAGCCAGGCTCGCCGTTCGCCTCCCCGCGCCCGACGTACTCGCCCTACGCCAAGGCGTCGAAGAGCATGCTCCGGAAGATCGCGCCGCTGCACCCTAACCGCCGGACGCCCCCTCCCCCGCCTCCTCGCCCTCCTCCGCCGAAGAAGACCAAGAAGCAGCTGGAGCTCGAGGAGAAGTGGGAGATGGATCTTGAGGATTCTGTCGAGGGGTGGTATTGTATGTCGGAACAGGAGAGGGCGGCCCTGCGGAGGGCGAAGCGAGACACCGAGATGGGCTTCGAGGACTGATCTTGACTAAGTTGTTGTGCTACTCCATTCTGTAAACCTCATCGAATTGTGCTAAAGGTAGATGTACAATGCTTGTAACAGGACACAACACTGTAGCCGTGGAAAGGAACTGTATTAGATCGCGCATAACATTTGTACCCAATGGATGATGGAAATCGTTGCGAGCGTAACATGAGCGTGGTATACATGGCGGGTGAGGACAACATGAAAGGGAAGGTACTACAGTTACGACGATGGCGATTGCGGCGGTACAGTACTCCTGCGCCGCTCCGGATGGTGGTAGTATGTGCTATACCGCTTACGCAGACTCGACCGCCGTTCCGCACTTGCACCAGGGCTGCTGTGCGCAGAACGGACTGGGCTGTCCGGCTCTTCGTCCGAGCTGGCGTCCTCATCGCCAAGCCACTCGTCGTTCTCGGGCAGGACGATCACGCCCGAGCCCTGGTCGTAGCTGAGTCGATGCTGCAATGCCAGTGGTCGGCGCTGCGCCGTCGGTCGTCGCGGTTGGATGTCCTGCCATGGGTTGGCAGTAGTCTCTGGCGATGCCAATTGCTCGCCTGGTGAAGGGATATGATCGAGGTCGGCCGGCGCGCTGGCAGGGGTGCCATCTGCCTCGGTGGGACCAGCCACCTGACTGCTGTCTGGCCGGACGATGCTGCGGCGTTTTCGTAGCGTGAGCACGACAGCGTGGTTGGTATGGTCTTCTGCGGATTCCTCAGGGACTGGCGGGGCACCGTTTGTGGTACTAGGTGGTTGTTCCTTCGCCTGAGGCAGCCATGGCATTGGCAGGACACCATTCAGTGCCGGGTGCCCGTATCTTCGCTTGCCAGTGCTACGATGCAATTGTCAACAAATCCAAGATGTGTGCACCATAGTTATCACGTACTTCAAGACCCCGCTGTACCAATTTGCCATGGGTGGTTGAGACTACATCACAGGGTCAGGATTCAAGCATAGATGTCATTGAGAGTGAGTACTCACATAGTCTGTTCGCTCATCCTCGGGAGCGACATACAACGTTTCATCGTTTTGAGCATACCGCCTCCGGTTCAGGTTACTGTCCAAGAACATCAGCCTGTACTCCGAGTATACAGCACATCACGTACCTCTGGGACCACGTCACCGGATGTCCATGCCTCAATTGGACGACGTCCGCCGTGTCCTCGCCCCTCTGCACCTCGAACACCGCGCCCAAGTTCACATACTTGCTCAGCGGGCGGAACGCCTTGTCTTCGTACCATGCCCATAGGAGCGTCCCACCCAGCAGCGGCGCCAGGAGCGACGAGAGGACGAACGACTTCCTGAGGATGAATATACCTATCATGAATACGAGGAAGATGATTACGCCCCAGATGAGACGCGTGAACGTGATGGGCCAAGCTTGTCCCTGCGACTCGTACGGCTTGTAGAACACTAGACGTACGCGTAGGAAATATTAGCCTAGAAGGGACACGGGGTACCCGAGGCCTACCGAACAGGAGCTTGTATTTGTAGACGACGTAGGCCATTCCGAAGTAAACGGCACCGAAGATAAGGATGAGCGGCTGGATCACACTGTACAGCAGCGTGATGACGAAGACGAGGATGGCTTGCGGATAAACTACGCCGTAGTTAATCATCGGTGGCGCGTTCAGCTCGGCGAAGTCTAGAGGAGGCGTTTACTTGCATAGAAATGACAGGAAGGACACACTGCTCACCTCGGGGTGTTCGCGTGAAGAGACGGATGAAAATGCGAGGGAGTATAACACCCAAGTTTAGGAGCTGTAGAGGGATGATACCGAGACCTATAATCTCTCAATATCTCACAGCAAAATCTTGTCATGAACTGCAGGGTTCACCTTGCAGTATGACGTAGGACAGGAAGAAGTGCCTGCACAATCGTTAACATTCCGACACACTCCCAGAACGAGACAACCTCACCTGGCCTTTCCAGCGGCCAACGCGTAGGCCAATTTCTCGATGCCTCTCGCAGGAGAGTTCGCAAAGTCTCGCACGAGCTGCCAGTACGTACTCGCCACTAGGAAGATGAAGACAACGTTGACCAGCAGGAACAAAAAGTACCTGCCAGGGAGAAACAAATCAATGGCTGCACTGAAATTTGAAAGCGATAGGTACCCACTTCTTCATCAGAGAGTACTCTATCCAGCTACGCGCAGGATATCCCTGGAGGTATGTAAGGGCTACAAGATATACGTGAGGAAATGGCTTATAAAGGCAAGAAACAACCGCACCTTCCAGCAAGAATGGCAGCACGGCATTAATGCTTGCAATCGCAACCGAGGGCAGTGAGTTCTGCACGATCGCGCGCACCTGCGGACTTGCATCGATTAAATTGGCCAGCCACGGCATTACCTTCTTGATCTCCTTGTAACTCAGCAGACTAGCCAGCGCAGACGTGGGGACCGTCCAGAATAGGAGAAGGACCGCGATGGCGCCGAGCACGATCCACTCGCGAGCGCGCAGGTTTGAAGGGGAGTGGCTGATGTTAGACCAGATGATGTCGCGTGGCTCGGGGGCGAGACGGGTGACGCAGGAACGGGGATTAGGGCAGTGGACTGCTTGTGCGGCGATTTGCTGGCAAGACTCTTAGGATAATGCTGAGAAGAGAAATGCAGGGTACGACGTACTGCACTAGACATTGTCTCGAACGTCACGAAGGCAACGTGCGTAGCTCTGAAACGGCCACTCTTACGTCTTGTCTTGACAGCCTCGTGAGCTTCCTTGAACTGTTGTTCGAGATAGTCAAGTGCGTCGACCTTTGGCTTGAAGAGCTCCGGGCGAATGGTGGGCCGCTTACGACCCGGGACGACGATGCGCTCAGACGAAGCTTCCAGGTCCGGAGCTTCTACATCGACTAGACGGTTATCAGGCGTGACGGACTTCTTGAGGTCAATGACGCTCGGGTTCCCAAGGTACTTCACCCATGCCTTTTCGAGCTTCAGAAGCGCCGCTGTCCGTACATCAAGCAATCGTTTCAGTGACCCCACCTCCCGGCAGATACTCACGCTCTCCACGCTCAGGTCCATATGCTCGAAGTATTCCGCAAGAGCACGCTCGCCCCTCATGTGTTCCGGGAGGTGGGTCACCATGACCGTCCGCGCGGAGATGGAGTGCACGAGCTCGAGCGAGAAGAGTTGGCGAGCGCGGATGAAACGCTTGTAGTTTTTGTGGATGAAATGCAGGGCCAGGAGCGTGAAGACGTAGGTGAAGAGGAGATGCACAGAGAGGTATGAATTGGCATCGCTGACGAGGTCAAGCCAGTCGCGTCCCTCGGTTGAATTGGTGGCTGGGGCGAATGTAGGAGGCCATGTTCCCTCTCCGTCTCCATCTTCGCCGCGACCGTCGCCGATGTCGATGTTGTTCTGTGTATCGTGGACTGACTCAGATACATAATTTTTAGAAGAAAGGTATGACATACCTTGAGATTCACGGGCATGAGGATGAGCGCCGCGAATACGGAACAGACAGAGAATAGGTAGAAAGACATCTTGAAGAAATTGAGCAACTGCAGCAGAGGTTCATCGCACAACATTGTTGAAGAAAGCTCATCAAGCTTACAACGGCGGCGTCTAGTCCTACGATCTGCAGGACAGTGAATTCGGACGTCCGAATAGTAGGCAGTATCCAGCCGAAGAATGCTTGATGGGCGTGGGCCTCATGCGGCGAGAAACCTGAGTGATGTTGTATAAATCCGGGATCACTTGAGCAGCCTCGCAGATATTTGCATATCACTAGACACCCTCGGCGATGTACATGAAGTAGGCTTCCGCAGCTGTGGCGGTCATAGGCCAGCTACCGCACAGAAGTTAGTGCCATTGGAGGCCCAATCATGTGTACATCGCCAGGCTATTCTCATGATATGCAGATAACTGTAAGTCAACGCACCTTTGAGCTTCGTCCGAGGGGCGAACTGAAGTGGCCATCGTTTCCGGCAGTATGAAAATATGAGAAAGGAAGTGAGACCAATGGACGTTGATAGCAACAACTGTGTTGTGAACCACGGTCCCTCGAACTTTGCTATCAAGCAAGCGTAGTTAGCACTGGTCGTGATGTACATCAGGCAGTTTATGGCTCACAAGTTGGAGGTGTTCCGTTAGGTGGTCCTGGCTCTCCATCATCGTCGAACGCTGCCGCCCATTGTGCGAACAGCGACTGGACCGGCGACCTGTCCATCTTGCCGTGCCTGCCTGAAGGCACCCGTAGACAATCCTCGAGCAAGTTCCAGGTGATCAGCGCGTTTTGAGGCCGTAGGCAGGGAAGAGCAAGCAAGCGAGCAGATGTGGCCTGCGGCAAGATCGCGTCGGAACGCGTTCCAGGCGCGTGAGTGCTTTCAGGTGCTTTCCGTGTCGCAGACGCAGCCACCGCGACCAATCCTGTTCGCACAGCTCCGTCCTCGTTCCTCTCTACAGCCCCTTCCCTACTCGCATTCTTCCTTTCTATTCAACGCTCTATCTATCGTATTATCCCGCAATGTCTGTCATTCACCCACAACTCCACAGTACCCTCGACAGCCTCA